CCTTTCTAATGACATAGCTATGAAGACAACGAACTAGGGCTGTCACGGTTCCAAAATTTTTCGGGTCGGGTCGGTTCTGTAAATTTTCGGTTCGGTTTCGGGTTTTTCGGGTCGGTTATTTACATCTATTTTAAACCTTAATTTCATGAATTTAACTTGAAAAATCTTTATTTGTTACATTAAATTTACATTGAAAACAAGTCTTAACCATGCGAACGTCTAGACATCGGTGACTTGGCCCACTATTAGCCACAACCTGACAATTCCTGCTCGTTTTGATAATTATCTAATACTTCCGTGACAAGTGTTTGTCATGGAATGAAGTAGATTTCAGCTGTGATGTTTATTTATCACTGTTATCGTGAATAATCGTCATCATTCCTTTGATTTCGACGCCATTTTTTGTATTAAACAGACTCTTAATATATAAATCAGACCCGAACCGAAATCCGGGAAAATGGAACCGGAACCGAACCGAACAACTTGGACCGCGGTTCTCGGTTATTTCCGGTACTCGTGACAGCCCTACAACTAACAGTAATCAATCTCAAAAGTCCACTGAAAAAATACAAATTTCGAGCAGAGCAAACACGGACCTCTAAATTATCACAATTACGAAATCCTCCAAATAATGAATCATTGCAAAACAAAGAAACATTTGATTCCTAACCAACTATTTCAAAAACTGCAACAATATTTAGAATATGTTCCATGAGCTTACACAAACAAACGGCAACTTGGCAAAACTGTAGTTTCCATTGGAATGTAATTTCAGTAAATGAAAACAACTGCAGCTGGAAATATTAAACACCACAAAAATGCATTATTTATATCTATTTTTCAAATAATCGCGGATTTTCTTAGTTAGTTTACTTTACAAGTGTTTCATTATTGACCTAATTATTTTGGAAATGCTTGCGCCATGTCTTGCTTCCACAGTGTGCTGTAAGGCAAATGTTTGCAAAATTTATACCTTAATCCCCTTTCAATGCATTGTTATGATTTCACCACTTTATTTTGGATTATTCATTGCAATTTCATTCAGAAAGTGGACATCTTGAACTCACAGGGTTTATGCACTGCGATGCCTAAAGGGACATAATCCCCTATTGCAATACTGTAAAGTGGGTTATTTTAGCGAGGTATTAAATTTTTGTTTATTTTGGTGTTTTGGTGGTAGCCCACTAAAATTTTAATCGCTAAAATATTCAGTTTTTTTCTTTGTGTTCTTTTACCAGAGTCAGAACCTTGTATCAGCTAAAATAAATTACACCAAAACTACTGACATACCTTCAGCCACGCAAGCAAAACCCCAAATTTTACACCTGCAAAGAAAACTCGCTATACAGTATAATTTTATTTAGTTGCATCATCAACATGATAATCTACCATTTACGTGAGACGAAAATCCTGTTGCCATTGCAACAAAAAAAGGTCTTCTGTCTTCATATGTGATACTGCATGAAGCATATCTCCTCTAATAATAAAGACTTCGCTTTCTGTCGAAGCTTTAATAATATAAGAAAATATTTTTGTCATTGACAAAATTTTCCGTAAAATATATCTGCTACACAAAATCAGGCTATTTTTTCTGTTCACTTCAAATTCTTATCATTAAAGCTCCTTAAATAGTTTTCCCCACAAATAAAGGCCACTTTCTCCCAACAGTATTTTACAACGTTATAACAAAAGTACAATGGAATGAACTAGAACTGTATTTAATATCTCCTACGAAGGTTATATGCCCTTAAAAAAACTGGATGAAGTTTTCAAAACGGATGTTATATAAGATATGAAACCAATGAATGAAATGGTGTGACAATAAAAATATTTAACAATATATTTTTGAGGAAATAATTACTAACTTTTTTTGTAGTACTATTTGATCGATTTTTTTTAATTCACTTCTCTTTAAGGTTAACGTTTTCCATGAAGTTTGTTTCTATATTATTCTCTTTTCGGTTTAATCGGAATAAAGCGCTAAAAAGCGATCGACTGCGCATGGAAACAAGGTCAAAAGCTAAGATATTTTACTTTTGTTTTCTTTTGAAAAACAAATAAAATTGTAACTGATGAAAGGAATTTTCTCTTTAATTTAGGAGTTAAAAAACTTTATTTTTCAGTGAGTTTTCAGGAGATTCGCAGTAAGAGAGCTGAAGACAAAGATTGTAAAATATTTTTTAAAAAGATATCCTTAATTGAAACTATTATGAAAAATTAAAAAAAAGGTATGAAAGTAAGAGGTATGTTCCTGCGAAAAAAAAATCCTGCTTTCAAAGGAGCAGAAACAAATACGCTTGCAGTGGGCAAAACAGCATTACACACGACAAAGAAAGATTAGGAGAGTGTTTTGTTTTAAAATGAAAGTTTATTCAAGTTGTTCAATGATAGTAAGAATCGTCGAGTTTGGAGACAAAAAAGTGAAAAGTATGAGTCAAAGTGAGAACAGTTTACTGTTAAACATCCTACCCAAATTTCGTTCTGGCGAGTTTTTGGAGCAAACGGAGTTAGAGTTTTGAAAAAAAAAAATAATAATAGGGAACACTAATCTCCAGCAGATAGCAAGAAGAAATCATTAACACAACTTAAAAACTAGGGATATGTGGTGCACCAAAAATTTCGGTGCATCGCGGTTCAAACAGTTAGATTCGGTGCACCGATCCAGAATTCCTGAATTCGGTTCGGTTCGGTTCAAAATTTACATAACACGTATAAAAAGAAAAATGGCAGTCAATTGGAGATTGGAAGTGTTTCACTGTGTTTGTTTTCATGATTTTAATACGTTTTTAATGATTTTGTCAGTTTGAAGTGAATGATTTAGTCTTTATTTATTCCAGAAACGCCTTTTCCTTTTTCAATAGGGGTTAATTTAAATTGGTATGAGCTAGTAAATAGCCCGACAGTGACGGGCTAGTGAAAAAGTAGCAGGTATTTTCCTCTAAGTTTTGTTTTTAATCCCCAACCAATAAAAGAAAACCAGAAGTGTGGTTCTCTTGTTCATAAATCTCCTATTTTCAATTAACAATGGTTATTTCCTTTCTTATGTCGATACGATATATCCCGGTTAGCTTGAGATAAAAGATACCACAGAGTCTGACACTTCTGTTTCATATTTGGATATTTTATTAGAAAAAGACGCTAATGGTAATCTAACAACAAAGTTTTATGATAGACGTGATGACTTTAACTTTTCAATCGTCAACTTCCCTTATTTATGCAGCAATATACCCTTATCACCTGCATACGGGGTTTATCTCTCAGTTGGTTCGATACGCTAGAGCACGCTCTACGTATGGACAATTTCTGAAACGAGGTAAGTTGTGTACAAACAAGTTGATGAAACAAGAATATCAGCAGTCTCGTTTAAAGTCATCATTTCGTAAGTTCTTTGATCGATGCTGACTGATTTTTTTTCATACTTATTGTTAGGCCATTATTTACACATTGAATTGTCGATGGATTTTTCCGTAATTTCCCGATCATGACAAGGAGCACATGGCGGGTGTGACAGGTCGGCAGGGGATGCTCACTCCTCCATGGCACATGATCTCACCTCTGATGTCTTAGAAGTCCGTGTTTCCTCTGCTCCTATTTTGTAATGTTTAATGGACTTTAGAGCTCGAATACTGTTCGTTATCTCCACATATTTCATCTAACTCTTTTAGCACTTCTAAATAATTTATTTATTCCTAAAAACCATGAAAACGATCGCCTTTTTTTTTTACTATGTCAAATTTCCTCCATCCCAATGTTATGGAAAATACATATTAATATCACTTTAATTGATTAAATTATTTCTAACTACTCAGCTGATTAACTGAAGAGTAAATATTTACAAGGGTTATCAAAAATATATTAACAATGTATTTGATAAATTGAATTAAAAAAAATAAATCACTAGCTTTCACTTCATTTTGGAAAAGGAAGTCCAATGATAAGAAAAAAGGATGAATGTCCACTACCATGTTAAAAGATACAGATATATCTATAGCATGATTGTTCATTCTATTAAATGTAGCCTTAAATATTTTCTCTGATTATCTATTTATTAATGACTCAGAAGAAAAATGCAAAAAGAGAAAATAAGCAGAGGAAGTATGAAAAGAAGAATAATTTAATGACAGTATGAAATGTAAATGGAATAAAATAATACAACAAAAAAATTAAAATTTTATTATTTTTCTGGGCTAGTAGAAATTTTAATTTAGCTAGTAAAAATGTCAAATCCACTAACCCCACCTGTTAGTGTCTCAGAAAAGCTTTTGTGAAGACTAAAGTTAAGGAATTTAATCAGTTTATAACGCAGAGATTACTATTTTTCATTTATGATGAGAAATTTTTAGACTGTTTAGGTTAAATTGAACCAAAAAAAAAAAAAACCAACCGCATCATTCTGAAACGAAATCGAACCGAATCGATTGAACCCTGAATCGTTCGAGCCCTATTAAAAAACAACATGTGAATATTTAGTATTTCCCAAAAACGTCGTACATATATCAACAAGATCTTGCTCCATGCCACAATTCCAAGAGTACTTTAAGTTTTCTTGAATGTAAAAGAATACCCACTCTCCCCTTTCCAGGTGACAGTCTGGATCTCAATCCAATCAATAACACTGGGCTAAAATAAAAAGAGAACCTTCTAAGAAATTTCCTTCAAAGAAGAATACATGTGGGAACAGTTACTGCAACAGTGGTATTCAGTGACAAAGGAATTTTACGTAAACCTTGTTCATAGCATATACGACAAAATAAAAGCAGTGATTAAAGCCAAGAGCTGAGCTACCATATATTAATTGTATATTTATAATTAAAAAGTATATAAAATATACTTTAATTTCCCTTTTATTATCTCTTTGCATAAATTTTAACAATGTGTCCTTATCTTAAGCGGAAAACCATGTGAGTTTAAAATGTGTGCGGAGCTGTAGATTCAATAAATAACAGCAACATACCATGGTGAATTTCCATATTAAAGCAAGTAAAATGTTTAATGTGGATCCCTACAGTATTCCACACACTGTATTGATGTTGCATATTTTCATTACATTCCATTTATTATACACGATACATGTAGTATATGTTAAAACAAAGCAATGGTATATATAAGGAAAATTAAACTCCTTAAAGTCATGATAAAGTATAATTTGGATGAAATTAAAAAAGACTTAGATATAATCATACTATTTACTGTTCATTATACCATCTAGTGTTATACGTCATCATCTTCTGTGCTCCCGTCATCAGAATTATCACTGTCACTAAAATCTGTAGAACGTGGTACGCATGCATAACACTTTTTCTACAATAAAATTACAATGCCTTATCATTAATGAAATTGTATATCTATTAGAAATTTAAAACCACTGACGTCAAAAGGACAACAAATATATTTTTAAATTGTTTTAATGGCCAATTCCTCTGCTTATATCAATTTGAATCTTCGTTCAAAATCGGTTTTTATTTTTGTTGTCTTGAACATATTTTATTGACAGTATGTCAAAGGGATAGGACACAAGTTCCAAAAACTTTGATAGTTGTCTCCCCCAAATTTTGTTACTGTGACCAGGGAAATGACTTTAATGTCCCTTTTATAATCTCTTTACATGAATCAAATCTCTCCCCCCCCCCCCTCTTTTAAGCCTTTTTCATCCTCGACGAAGGCGGATTTTATACCGGGGCGAATTATACAGAATCAGTGATACTGTACATTTGTATTTCCCTTTGATATACTGTGTCTGGACGAATAAATTGACGGAGCAAAATTGTTTATGTTTGTTGGGGAGAAAATAACCCCGATCCATAGTAGGGGATTAGGCACAAGTACGAAAGTATGAATTCTCATAAACCTGAAATTTTATCATAGGTATACTTCCCACTCTAAACCCCTTTACTTTGATTAGCTAACTTTCCTGCACGTACTTACAGTGATATTACAATATTTAACGTCTTACAATTGTATCCGTTATCTCTAGTTTAGAACGATAATACGATACAAAATTTAAGATTTAAAAAATAGAGAGCAGCCAGAATAACAGAAAAGTTTCATGGAGAAACACTTAACAGTTTTTCAATATAAATCTTTATCTATGAAATATGTAATTAATTTTAATGATTCAAAACAGTTTATTTTTTTATTTTTTGAAATTTTTTTAAATATTTCAAAGAATAAAAAACTGTTTTAATTATTAAAATTAATTATATATTTCATAGATAAACATGTATATAGGAAAACTATATATGTAAGTTTTTATCCATGACAAATAATTTGTCATGTAATCATTTTCAACTTTAGATTGAAAATTCATAAAAGACAGAAGAAAACCAAAGCAGAGAAAAATCAAAAGCTGACTGTTTGAAGATTTCCTCAATAAAGTAGATTACACTTAAGTAGTATCTATTTTTCGGAGGGGGGGGGGGTATTTTTCAGAGAGATGGCTTTGCTTTGATTGAATGGTTAGATGAGTGTGTACATGTATGTGTCACCTGTGTAGCATGGCATCAACTTTTTTTTTACAAACGACAAGCGACACATATCTTCCCTGACCACCTCACTCTCTCTCTCTCTCTCTCTCTCTCTCTCTCTGGAAAGGGGAGGAGTATTACCTTGCAATCAATCCAGCAATCTGCACAATAAGAGAAATTACATCCAGGTGTAGAACAGAGAACAAATCCTTCTGTCTCCAAATCATCACAAATCAAACATCGAGTTTTAGAAGCCTTAAAACGTTTCACCAGAGAGGCGAGTTTGGGACAGGAGCGCTTAATTCCAACCAAAAAGCCAGAGTCCCGCTAAAATGGAATGAAGTGACACTCAAATTAATGACTTTATTGCAAAAAAATTTTTCCTATTAAAAAAAAATAGCCTCTCAGATATATAACTGTACATAATTATTAAAGGAGACAAAGGGGAATTTATTCAAAAAGCACTAATTCAAATTTATGATATCAATACAAAATAAAGATAATTATATAATTTCAAGTAGTGATTAGTTAAGACAGTATTTTTTTTTATTTATTTATTTATTTATTTATTTTTTCTATTTTTTTTTTATTTATTTATTTTTTGCAAAAATCTAGAAAAAACTTACTTATTTTCTTTTTTTTTTTTTTTTTTTTTTTTTTTTTTTTTTTTTTTATTGCCCCATCACATGTCCAAGTATATAATAGTGCCAGGGTTGGGGCCCTGGGTTCACTAAGTAACATACATAATACACATATATATTACACAATCATAATGTGACAGGACATTTTTTTCACATATCATTCACACACCATTCGCTACATAACATGCATATGATTATATTTATAATAATATTTAACAACTGAAATCTTAATATAATCAGTGAAAAGTTGATGTATATCTGTAACTGCATTGTTTTTTCAAATATATTAATCATATTAAAACATTATCAAATTCCATCGTTTTTTAAAACTGTCCATTTCCCCATTTTTCTTATAAATATATTTTTCACAATTAAAATAATACATAACCTCTTGTTTGACCCTCTCAAAAGATGGTACACATTTTTTGCATCTATTTCTATAAATATGTTTTTTTATTATACATACTACTAAATTAAATATATTGTTATATTTATAATGTTTTCCCAACAAAACATCAACTTTGTTTAGAGATATATCAACTCCAAACTGTTCTTTCATCCAATCCAGTACATTTTCCCAAATTTCTGCAACACACTCGCATTCCCAAAAAAGATGACAAAGTGTCTCTGGGTGTTTCTTACAAAAACTACATAAATCTGAGTCAGTAACACCAATTTTGTGTAAATATGTATTTGTAGCTAAAATTCTATGTACAATTCTATAGTGGAACCATCTTAACTGTATATCATTTGTTATGTTAAAAAACAGAATGTTTTGTTTTTTCCACCAAAATTCATCAACATTAAGTTCTAAAATGTTTTCCCATTTCATTTCACTTTTTGGTTTTTTGTATTTCTGACTAATAAAAACATCATAGAAATCTCTTGCACCTTGTTTGCTTTTTGTTATTGTTTGTAAGAATTTTGGGAAGAAAGGTTGATTTCTTTGAATTATCCTATGATCATAATTCAACTGTAATTTTCTAATACAATTTGTTATGCCTAAAAACATTGTAAAAGGTGTTTTTAAATCATATTGTTTACAAAAGTCTTGGTATCCTAACAAAGTCCCATTTGTATCATAAAAATCAAAAACAAATTGTATACCTTGTCTCAGCCATGACTTATAACAAACACTTCTGTTGTTTATACATATTGATGGATTATACCATATGGGACTTAAAATAGATGTTTGATCATCAATACATAATCTCAAATCCAACAATGCTGAAAAAACATCATTCCAGAAAACATTTTCCGTATCTTTCTTAAGTTTTTTTGAAAAATCCCTACCATAGATAACTAAATATTTAATGTCAGGAATTAAATCTTTTAGCAATTCTTTCCAGGCTGATTTACATGAACTATCAAACAATCTGCGAATCCATGTAATTTTTAAACTTTTACAAAATGAATCAAGACATGTCATTCTCATACCACCGTTTTCATAACTTTGGCATATAATATTTTTAGCCACCCTAGCCGTTTTGGTATTCCAGATATAATGAAAAAATATAGCTTCAATTTCTTTGAGTTTTTCTTTAGAAGGGCTCGGTAAACTAATTAATAAGTGACTAAATTTAGGTAAAAGCAAGGTTTTTACTACTGTTATACGACCTTACTTATTTTCTTAAAAAGAAGCTTATTTGCAAGTTGATAGCTTAGAACATTACAAATCTAAATGATTACAAAGTTAATAGCATCTTGTATTACATTGTGACAGACAAATAGTGATCTAAACTTTATTTATCTGACAGTAAATAACAGCATTTTGACAACACATGTATACAGCTATAAAATCACTTTTTAGGGGATGGCAGAAGGAGTACTTTTCGCTATTTTAATGATATGAAGACACCCTGGAATTCATGTCCTCCACGAAATGTAAATTTTCCAAGTATATAAAAAATATAATACTTCTCACACTACGAAAATGAATTCCCACAAATATTTTTTTCCTCCAACCACGATAATTTGACCTTATAAAGATAACTGATATTGCAGTATATCATGTAAAACACAGCATAAAATTGTTTTTGTTATACCTTTACTAACAGTGACTGTAATATTTATTTTATAACTTAAAACATTGATTTGCCTGACATTGACATTGACGAACACTAAAAATTTTAATGCTCTAACAGTAACTAAATATCTAGATACTTACAGAAAGCTGAAATTTCCTGGCCTGTTTTCGAACTTTTTTACGTAGATGAATAAGATATCCTTTTCTCCTTTTCAGCAGTTCGTTGTACATAAACAATATCCGTGATTTTTCCCTCTAAAAAATGGATTGAATATAGATTAATTGACGTAAGGTACATTTCATTCAACTCGAGTTATTAAAGTACACCTCTGCATCAACTTAATAAAAAAAAAAAAAAAAAAAAGGCGAATTTTACATTTATCCTTGGCCAAAGTATTTTTTTTTTCTTTTCCAAACTTAGGGTCCACCATTTTTTTTTTAACAGTATTTAGTTTGTTTTATAAATTCTGTACAATTAAACATCACGAGAAATATATTAAGGCGTATGTAGAATTTCACATTTGTGAAGGTTGTGACATATGATGATTAAATTAAAAAAAAAAAAACAATGATGGAATGATACTTACAAAGAAAGCAAAGAAAAACATCAAGTAAAAGATTTACCTTTCGATAAAAGAAAGCACAAATGAGTCTGCGCAGGCGCAAGCCATATGCTTCAAATAACATGAGAATCCAGACAACAATATAAACAGCGTAAATCTTGTAGACTTCCACGGAGTTTAGTTTTGTAGGATGGGGCAAACATTCTGAAACAAGAGCGTACACTCCAACATATAAAACATAAAGATAAAGATTTTCATAAAAGAAGTCTTTGGAATAATTTTATCATATTTTGTTGGGTTTTTTTTCATTTTGGGGGGAAAAAGATGGAAAAATGCACATAAAATTAAAAAGAATCTTCTTTCCTCAAGACTACCACATGATAAGTCCTAAATGGGCTTTTCATTCTAATAAGTGTTCAATTATCATGGAATGCTAATTAGTAAATTAGTAATTAATAAATTGATTAGTATGTTGAAATACGCTGCTCTTCTCTGAAAAAATATGTACAACATTGTTCCAAACAGTTTCTAATACTTCATCATTTTTTTTTTTTTAGAAATTTTAATTTTAACCAAAAATTAAAAAAAAAGAAAAAGAAAATGGCATTAATTTTTCAAGAGTCCAGATGTAAATGAATTTAATTAACTTTAACTTCTGTCTGAAGACCAGTTTATAGGACAACATAAATTTTATGCTGTAAAATAAAATAAGAGGAGAAGAATCACCTTTCATATAAAAAAAAAATCTGTACTAATTAAAAACACACATACATAACAGAAAAAGGCACTTACCAAAATTTGTAGTCACGTTATCAATGGTATGTTCGCTGTTGAAGGCCTTTAGAAACAGTCGAATGATCTGACTCATAAATCCAACGCCAGAGACTTTCACACTAATATAATGCAAGCCTGTAAAATTCACAATATTCAATTATGCAAGCAGTAAACTCTGGACACGCAGAGGTTTTTGTAGTTAGAGTGATCTTACCTTAAATGTAAGTTAAAAAACAAATATCTACGTGTAACAGGTATAAATTACAGTATTCTAAACACTATACTGGAACAAAATAAAGCCAAGGAATACTTTATTTACATGTAATTTCCAAATGCAAGTAAAGAGCAGTGAATTTCTTCACTTATATATCATTGTCTTGAGGGGGGATTCTTGTTTGGTTTCTGATTTTATGAAATGTTCAGAGTATATTTCCTTAAATGTTTTTAAAGAAGACGGTTTTGGCCTTATTGTGCCCTAAAATTTTACTGTTCTTAAAAGTTATGAAAATGGCTTAAATATGAGTTGAGTAGATGAATTTTATAAATCATGAAAGAATATGGCATGAAGGAAAATCATTGTGGAAATATGACGTCATTAATTTGTTACATTTCTAAGTTTTAAACAGAAAAAGCCCCAAATGACTCATTTCTTGGGTTATTTTCCTGAAGAAAATAGTGTCCACAGCCGTCGTCCACTTCAATTTTTCGATATGTTGTGTAAAATTCTTTAAAAAATCACATTCATCAAAATCTTTGTGGGCGTTGCATGTGCTCTTTATTATTTTATAGAAAATTCCACTGAAAATTGATGTCTTCTGCTACTTTTTGAGAAAAAAAAAATGCACAAGTTTAGCATTTAGAAGGTCATATGAGAGAAACAGTTTGTATGTTCTTATGGCATGGAATTTCAATGATATATAAAGTATTAATTTTAATTTCTTACACCTTTTTCATATTTTAGAAAAATACAGGGCCAGATTTGTATTAAAACCGTACCTTGTTCTTTAAATATTAAAGGATTTTAAATATCATATTTTTCTTTCCTTCTCATAATTTTACAACTTTAAAAGAAATGGTCAACTGACTTTGTAATTTAGCAGGGTCTTTATTTTACTTTTTAATAAAATAACTTACTTTAACTGTTTGTCTATAATAAGTTGACTCACCTGTCTTTCTGTAATAAGCTGACTTACCTGTCCATCTCCAATAAAATGACTTGACAGTCTGTCAGTAATACATTGACTTACCTTGTCTGTCTGCAATAAGCTCATATGTCTGTCAGTTATAAGTTGACTTGCATGTACCTGTTTGTCTGCAATTAGCTGACTGACATTTTTATCCGTAATAAGTTGACTTAGCTGTCTTCCTGGACTAAGCCTTCCTGTATATCTGTATGTGAGTGTAATCAGCTGATTTACCTATCTATACTACTATATTAAAATAATAGACTCGAATTTTTGGCCTTTAATACCGATAAATCGGATGAGTACTGTCGTTTGTTTTATATATTTTAAATATCATTGGTACTTGAAGATTACCAATTTGTTTTTATTTTTTCTCTATTAAGCTTCGCTAATTAATAATCAACAAAAATTCCTCAAAAAATTCCGGAAATCATCTGGATTTTTTCGATTTTACAATCTTGCGCGTGCGTATTACATTCACGCTAAATTACGGTGTTCAAATCAGAGAAGACAAAAGTAATTTGTACTAAGTAGATATATATTTGTTATTTTATAATTTTCTCTAATAAGAAATCATAAATGTATATGAACAAAATATATAGCAAATTTCCAATGAAAATTTACACGTATTTGTATTAATGTTTCTGAGTTTATCCATGCAAGTGTGATATTGTGGCCAAGTGGGTAATCATTCGCCATCTCGGAGACACATTTGTTATATGTTATTTATGTCTCTGGTCATCTCAACGGAGGCAAAAAGCTCATGATCGTAGGAGCAATATTAATGAAACTACCCGATTTTATTTTATCCTTCATTTCTTTTATGCTTTTTTTTTTTTAGGGTAAATGGGAGGGGGGGGGGGTTACAACTCCAGCTAGAATCACATCTTAGTGAAGTAGGCATTCTTTTTCCGCCAAAAATTACAATAACATTATTTTCATTTCTTAACTTTGAAATAAATTGAAATAATTAAATAACGTCAATACAACCGATATTTTCAATTTGAAATGTGTCTATATGATTACAACTTGAATTTGTTCGCCATGTTTACTATTACCTTCACTGCTGAGATTTATAACTTCACCTCCAAAAATTTCTTTAACTTTAAAAAAAAAAAGTGGGTGAAATATGTAAATTATTGTTATTGAACTTCGGTACGTTATATAGAAGGGACAGCCTGTTCTTCTAAATATGTAAAGGTTGTCGTGGTAACTACGCTTGATAGGTAGTCTGAAGTCAGCCCTTGCGGCCCGTACAGTTCATTCTATCAATGCTGCTAAAATATCGATTGTTTGTAAAATTTAATCCATGCATAGTAAATCTCAAAACTATGAGGTGGGAGAAAATTAAGATCGTAAAAATATTTATTCAATGATGAAATGAATTATATTTAATCGTAGCAAACAAACTTATGTTTTATTAAATCGCCACAAGAAAAAATACACCAGCGTGAAAACAAGTTGTCTTCTTCAGCAGCCATGACAGTTCTCATGTGATGTAATGACTTTTGATTGAAAACGTTTAATACTGCAATAGATTAATTTTTTCATTGTTATCACTAAACAGATATATAAATGTTTATGAGGTATATATTTATTTTATTTTTGCTGCATTATTTACGTATGAAGTAAGAAAAATACCCATATTCAGTTCAAGTTCCGCTCCCAAATTCTCATTGGCTGTCCCAAAATAAAATCGGTAAAGGTCAGTAAACTTTAAAGTTTGTGGTAAACTCAGACTTTACTAAATATTTTGGAAAAATTTATGCTCTGAATAATAACATTAGAAACATTTATTTTAAAATGTTCCTGATAACATTGTATGATTTCAATTAAAAAATGAAAATGATATTGTATGATCCAAAAAGAGATGTACCCCCCACCCCCACCCCCAGGAAAAGGTTTCATTATTGCAGCAAGAAGTACCTTCAAATTCCTACTTTCCTACTTAGGATACCCTTGCTTGGCTTATCTAAGATAAGGATAATTCATGTTTCCCATATATTTTATACTTAGTATAAACAAGAGGCCCATGGGCCACACCGCTCACCTGAGCAACTATGGTCAATTACTCCAACCCAAACAGCTTTAACAAATCAGAAAAATCTGTACAAATTTAGTTTTTTATATTAAGGTTTTGATACATATTCTAAGTTTGAGATTTTTATCCAAAGATTTTCATATGTAAAATTTACAGTAAATATTCTGTTCCCCCCTCTCCCATTGTGGTTGTACCCTATCATGACCCCCTGTGATCGTCATCATCAAATTTGAATGTACATTTATATGAATTTACATTTCAGAAAACCTCTCTGGTCAAGTAGTTTTGGAAAAGAAAATTCATAAAAAAAATTTCCTATAAATACTCCCATGGATACCCCTCCCCCATTGTGGCCCCCACCGTACCCCCAGGGGTCATGAAAGGTCATAAGATTTAAAGGAAATTGAGAATGCTTCCACATAAGTTTCAACATTCCTGGCCAAAAGGTTCTTGAGAAGAAGATTTTTAAAGATTTTCCCTATATATTACTATGTAAAATTTCAACCCCCCATTGAGGCCCCACCCTATCCCTGGGGGTCATGATTTTAACAATATAGAATCAACACTACCTGAGGATGCTTCCACATAAGTTTCAACTTCCCTGGTCAAATGGTTCTTGAGAGTAATATTTTTAAAGAATTACCAAAAAATTTCAATATTTCTTAATTACCTCCCCTTGGTAAAACCGAGGTTTTTGTTTTAATCGAATCGATTCAAAATATTACTAATTCAAGGATATTACATTAATTTTTATCAAAACAGACAGTCATGAGAGCATTTTCTTATATCATATGTAAAGTACACTTGATATTCTTAATTCTTATTATGATCTCTTGAACAACCAGTATGTTTGTATGTTTTTTTTTCGGGGGGGGGGGGGGGGGGGGGGAGGGGGGGGGTATTTGCAAATAATCTGTTCTGCTTCACATCTGCTAAATTGTGTAGAAATACCAGTATAGCACATTTATCCATTTTCATTTCTGCTTTTACAGATTATATACATATCTATAACCTGTGTACATATAAAGTATACGTATTAGCAGTGCTTAATAACTCTTTTATTGTTGAGGTCATATTTTGAACAAGTTGAGACCTGCAGTGTTAAAATTGTTACAAAAATTTTTACACCTTTAGTTTAATAACTAATCGTGTAAAAATACCAGCTAAACACATTTCTTCATTTTCATTACTTTGCTTGATATGTATCAGCAGTGCTCAACTCTTTGTTGTTGTCAAATTTTCAATAAATATCCATAATTTCTTTTATTAAAGTTTGGAAAGGTGAAATTTATGTAAGCTCCGGCGTGATTCGAACTCAAGACTTGATTTATAGCTAACTGGGGGTCAAACCCATTCTGCGCTACACTGTTACGCAACAATTTTGCAAAAAAAAAAAAAAAGCAGAATTATATTCACATTCATTGTTTATTTCAAAAGTACCTTACAATATATGAATGTGTCGATGTATCTATTTTGTAAATGTCCGATATGCACATGGATGCATTCATAACAATGTCAACCCGTGCACGCACGGGTCAAAGTCTAGTTTGTATTAAGTTATCTTACCTGTTTGTCTGTAAAAAACAGGTTTATCCATGTGTCCTCTATGTTATGATGACTAACTTGTCTGTCAGTAATATAAGTACATGTATTCACCTGTCTGTCTGTAATAAGCTGACTAATGTGTTTGTCTGTAATAAGCTGACAAGCCTTTTTTCCATTATAAGGTGACTTACTTGTCTGTCCATTTAAGGATACTTGACTGTTTGTCCATTATAAGCTGACTTAATCTGTCTTTAATAAACTGATTCTTCTGTCTGTCTGTCATAAGTTGACTTATCTGTCTGTCTATCATAAGTTGACTTATCTGTCTGTCTGTGTTATGTTGAATAAATTTTCTGTCCCTAATACACTTATTCACCTGTTTGTTTGTAATAAGCTGAATAAACTGTTTGTTTGTAAAAAAAAAAAAAAAAAAAAAAAAAGATGACAAGTATGTCCTTCTATAATAGGTGACTTACCTATCTGTCTGTTAAAGGTTACTTACATGTATGTCTGTTATAAGTTTATTTAACCTGTCTTTTACCTGTCTGTCATAAGTTGACTTACCTTTCTGTGTGTATTATGTTGGATAAGTTGTCCGTCCATAATATACTTATTCACCTGCTTGTCTATAATAAGCTGAATAATCTGTTTGTTTGTTATAAGCTGACAAGTCTGTTTTTCTATAAGGTGACCTACCTGTCTTCTGTAATCTTCACTGACATACCTTTTGTCTGTAATCAGAAAGCTTATATACCAGTCTGTCTGTGATATGTCTATTTGCAATAAGTTGACCTACCTTTCTGTCTGTAATAAGGTAACTTACCTGTCTGTCTGTAATAAGTTGAATTATCTGTCTGTTTGTAATTAGCTGACTTACCCGTCTGTCTGTAATATTGTCTACATTATGTGCTTCTAATAAGTGACTTACATGTCTGTCTGTTATGAGTTGACTTACCTGTCTGTCTGTCTGTCATAAGTTGACTTACCTGTCTGTCTGTAACTTATGTGACTGTTTTTCTCTATGATATCCATCACATCATACAGCAGATTGGCTGACATTACTATCATGCCTGATATAAATGCCCGCATTAAAATCAAAAAGGTGCCTGTGCTCTATATTGAAAAGAAAAACATCGTTTTCATTTTTTATTACAAATATTCATACAATCTTAAATTCTTTTGGCATAGAACTCACTTGGCTTTTTTAAAATGTTTTATTCCACAGCCGGGTTCAACATGGGTCACACAGGTATATATATAACTCTCGCTTGCTATATGAAAATTTTTGAACTTTTCATACATTTTTAATATTTTAGGTACCAGCCTAAATTGTACAGATTTCTTAATGTCACACAAGTTTTTTTTTTTTTTTCTAATTGTATAATGTGTTTAATGTCTATTGCACAAGTCTGCACAAGGTTAGGCTTACAGTAAAAAAAAGACTTTGAAATGAATACCCAACCTCGATTTACTATATAGAAATTCATGAATGTCGGCTGACTCTTACCACACTGTATGGCTTTGCTCTTTAATTTCAGTGCTACAAATTGCTAAATCGTATGGTTTAGATATCAATCGATGATGTGAGCTAAAAAAAATAATGCTTTATTTTTAACTTTATTTTTCACATTTTACCGGGGCCCATAAGTGCAATTGTTCTTTTATAAATATTCTTCAATATACTATTTTCTAAGAATGCATAAAATCATATTTAATTGACGGCTTCATTTTTTTTTTTTCATTTATACATTGAACATGTTAGAAACATTGCTTACCATAATATGCGCATGTTCATGATTATTAGTTACTGATCATTTGTATTGAAAATAATTAAACATTCTACATATTTTTTTGTTTATTTGAAAATCTTAAATTTTACTTTTTTTAAATTTAAACTGCTAAAAATGTTTTAAAATCTGGAATTGAAAATAAGATATTTTTTAAATATATATTGTACATAAATTCCATTTCATTTAAATACACACTAAGACTGATTGATTGATGATCGTATGCTGGTTTACGTCCCATTCGCGAATTTTTCACTCATATAGAGACACCATTGCATACCGGTAAAGGGCTTTCAAGTTTAGAATTATGCTCTGCACTCAGGGTTATTAAGCAGTGTGGGTTCTTTATCGTGCCAACGCCTACCGTGACACATGACCTCGGGTTTTTAAGGTCTCATCTGAAAGACCCGCGACTTTCACTTCTAATGCCGGGAGCTTGGCAGAGGAACATGCCTTACATGTACCTATGTTTACGTCTTAGGTTTGAGGCGTCGCAGCGAAAGAAAATAGAACCCAGGCCTCGCGATCACAAAGCGAACGCCTTTCCAGTAGGCTGTCGTGACAATACACATTAAAGACACTAAGACAAACGGCTCTCTTTTAGTAGCAATTAGAACTTACCAGCTTTTTCTTTTCCCCTTTCATCAGTTTCAACGTATCAGGATAAATCATGCTATCCTTTTCAAAATTCTTCAAGGGTAACAGTGTACGCTTATTCTGAAATAAATATACAAGTACAATACTTTGCTAAAGTAGTGGTTAAAGTATTGATATCGTCAAGTATGGGTGCATAACCACTTTTCCAAGAACAGTAACATACCTGGTAATGGCGTCTTGCATCAATATGGCGGAAGTAAGACGAGATGTAGTTGTTATCGAATTTAAAGTCTGTTAAATACTTCTTGTTGTATTTGTAGGAGCTGTGAAATAGCAAACACTTTAATAATGGTTTTGCTAGGGATATTCTGTAATATAAGAAAAAGAAATGGGATCGGGGATAGTCGGTGTTTACGGAAAAGGGGGGAGCAATGTCGTGTAGTCAACAGGAGGCTAAACTGTCAAAATGATTATTGTCAGTTCGAGGAGAGATAAGTTCCTTTCTTCAGAATTATTTATACCAGGGTTTTCCTTTACATGATCTAAAAAAATTGTCAGGTGAAACTAAAGAAAATATGCAATATGTGACAGATAATGCTAAACCAAAAGATTTAGGCTTATTAGGCTACAATGTACATATATTGCATATATAAAAGTATATAACTTCATATGCATTGACAGACATATAGTATTAAATTGATAATCAAACTGAAAATAACTTTAGATATATTATAAAATTTCCAGACCTAACGATTACCACTATAAACGTGAATGCCATGAATCTCTGGAGTGTCGCCATGAAAAATTCCACCCATACTTTTTTCTTATCGAACTCGTGCATTGTTCCCTTCCGAACTTCCTCTGCCATAGTATAATCGATATCTTCGGGAGTTTTCACCATCTGTTTTAAAAATACTTTTGATCTAAGAATCAAAATGATACAGGTGTGTAGTTTGTAATCTGGCGATTTTAAGAGTAAAGGACAAGTTATACTGTATTAAATTGGCCAAGTAGCTTTTCTCCGTCGATCTGTTTCTTGTACGGACTTTGCACTAGCCTTTTTTTGGAATCTACACAATTGCATATTAATCAGTTTATTTTCAGGCAAGCATATTTCCTGCTGTAAACCGATCCTACGCGGTATGTTTTCTACTAGCCATATACAGTTAATCCCAACTCCATTGTGTCCCTAGACCTTATACCCTATCCCAACTTCCACTGTTTCTTTCATGTTCACCTTGTTCTGTAAATCCCGATTTCTGCTGTTTGTTTTCATGGCTTTCTATTACTATAGAAAATGTAGCTACTATATGCCTGTGCCCCCTCAATAAAAAGGTCTGATGACCTTAAGCTGAATAATTCATACTCCCTTTATACTGTAAATCCCACCTTACACTGAATGTTTCATAATCCCTTTATACTGTAAATCCCACCTTATGCTGAATATTTCATACTCCCTTTATACTGTAAATCCCACCTTACACTGAATATTTCATACTCCCTTTATACCGTAAATCCCATCTTATGCTGAATATTTCATACTCCCTTTATACTGTAAATCCCACCTTACACTGAATATTTCATACTCCCTTTATATTGTAAATCCCATCTTATGCTGAATGTTTCATACTTACTTTATACTGTAAATCCCACCTTACACTGAATATTTCATACTCCCTTTATATTGTAAATCCCATCTTATGCTGAATGTTTCATACTTACTTTATACTGTAAATCTCACCTTACACTGAATGTTTCATACTCCCTTTATACTGTAAAACCCACCTTACGCTGAATATTTCATACTCCTTTTATACTGTAAATCCCACCTTATGCTGAATATTTCATACTCCCTTTATATTGTAAATCCCACTTTACGTTGAATGTTTCATACACCCTTTATACTGTATATACCACCTTATGCTGAATATTTCACTCCCTTTATACTGTAAAACCCACCTTACACTGAATATTTCACTCCCTTTATACTGTAAAACCCACCTTACACTGAATGTTTCACACTCCCTTTATACTGTAAATCCCACCTTACACTGAATGTTTCATAATCCCTTTATACTGTAAATCCCACCTTATGCTGAATATTTCATACTCCCTTTATACTGTAAATCCCATCTTATGCTGAATGTTTCATACTCCCTTTATACCATAAATCCCACCTTATGCTGAATGTTTCATATTTCACATATACTGTTAATCCCACCTTACGCTGAATGTTTCATACTTCACTTATACTGTAAATGAAATCCCTTTCGTTGTATACTATATACTATTTCGTTTATACTCTTCTTATACTCACCTTATACTGTAAATTGACGTCGAAGTTCTCCTCCATGTCGACCATTGTGTCTTCTGACGTTACATACACATCACCAAAACCTGGCTCCATCACGTCCATAGATTTACACTCCATTCCAAGGGCATTTGGCACCACTGACAAAAAGAAAAGTAAGAAATGGGAGGAGGTAAAGAGATAAATGTTGTGCGAATAATTTTCAAATTGATTGTACCGTATTTACCCCTATAACAGCCCATGGCCATTTAATGTAAAATACCCCTTAGCCATTTCTGCAGAAATGCCTTATTTCAATATGTCCAAAGTACCGGTAAAAGTATTCAATATTTTGCTCAAATGTACAGTATCCTAGACATTAAAATAACATCATACCAGTTCATCCAAATACATAATTATAAAGACTTCAGCTTGATTTAAAAATTATTAAAACAGTATCCTGTTTTCCATAAGCAGTTTTTGGTATTGACAAATAAAAAGACATAAGAAACTTATCCTTATCATAGTGGCAGACAAATATTCGACAACATTATACCTAGGTGTTCGCCATTAGCTATACAGTCAACATCAACAAAATGTGAGATAAAGATTGAAGACAGGTAATGCTGGCTTACCTTTAGCGAGTTGGCAGAAAATTGTCAATTTCAGAGGCAGACATAGAACATAGCCAAGAACAGGAATGGTGGACAAACATTTTCTCTCCAAATCCCTGAACTTCCCTCGGCACTTTATTACAGCCTTGTTCCATACATCTGATTAATTGATTATTTAATCCATTAATGAATTAATGATTGATCGATTGGTCGATAGACCGAATGTTCGATTGATTGATGGATTAATTAACTAATCATTTGATGATTGACCGATTGGTCGATAGATTGATTGATTGATTACTACGCATTTTAATTTTTTTTCTTCTTGGTATGATAGAAATGTACGTAGTGAGACCTGTGTATGTAAATTTTCACCATAGAGACAAACTATAAAAAAATTAATTCACAAAGACATGTAAGGAAAACAAAAACATTACCTTCACATCTCATTTCTAGCTTTTTCCGGTATCTTTTTTCGGATTTCTCTGCTCTGTCCTTTGCTGTGCTCTCGTCGTTTTCAGATTCTATCTTCTGCATCCGGTTTCCGCGCCGATTGTGTGTCACTTTATCTACCTGTCTCATTCTTTCCGCCATTTTAGCTTCAGAGTCCTCATCTTCAATTTCATATTCGTCGCTCTCCTCGTGGCTTTTTAACTATATAAATAAGTTTAAGAACTCTTTATACAACTACATGTAATTAAAAAAAAGCATACTTATAGTGCTATCATCTACATTTATTCATTGATGGGTAAACAGGACTACACTTGAGGGTGGGGGGTCTCAATTCAGCAATTGGTGAAAGGAGATTGTGCTTCAATGGCAATGACACCACTATGCAAACATGTACATCTGTTTAGTCAATACAGGGTTAGAAAAAATGGAGTTTTTTTTTTTACATTGTTTCTTCACAGTATTTCCTATGTTGAAATAGAAGAATGATGTAATAATTTTAAGAAATCAGAGGGACCAATGATTGGCAAAGAGCAACTATACAAATTTGAAATATTCAAGTGTGGTTTCCTTTTGTAATTAGATAAAGCTCGGATTTTTATTTTCAAATTTAGAAAATACATATAACTGATTTCTGAAAAGCTGCAGCCTTCAAGCCTGCACATGCCAATAAAAAAAAAAAGACAGCCAGGGCTCAAGATTGTCTCAACACAGAATAGACATGTCACTCAGTTTTGAGCTCAGAAAGACAGAAATATGTGTAACTATTAATTCAAAACGTTTTTCAACATAAGAAAAATTGCACTATCGTTATGTTTATATAATGGCATAAAAGAAATCTTGTACTACATCAATGATTCATTTTTTTTTTAGTGATGGCAAGGGGGGGGGGGGGGTCAATGGGAGATGGAGGCAGTAGACTGTGGTATTAAAACAAGTCATGTCAAGTGAATATATAAATCAAATGATTAACATCAGCTAACTCTTTTACCAACTTTACAAACGGTTGTAGATATTTCATCAAAATTGTTTTTTTTTTTTTCTATCTCTTGTGACAAAACAGTACAAAGTTCTTTCAAAATGCAAAAATGAATTCTTTTCTGATTGTCAACTCTGCAGAACAGGTAAAAAAAAAAAATATGTTCTCCCTCCTGCAGTTCACATTGCTTAGATCTTTTAGCTTAAAATCAAAATCATGGTACATCATGTAAATTGTAAGATAACTATAATAAGCAAATTATCATTATAGTTCTAATTACTTTGGAATCAAACACTTCTTTTCATTGGCTGTTATGTATAAATATTACTTTGAAATCAAATACTCGTTTTCAATTCATTCACTGTTATGCATGAATATTCATGTATCTCTTTTCCGGTTGACTTGCTGCATTGGCTGAAACGTGAATAAAGAGCAAGAGCCACTTAGGGCCTTTTTTGGCCCTGATAATTTCTGAAAAATCGAAACTGCTCAGTTTTTGTTGAAAATGCAGTATTTATAACTTGGACCCTTGGTGACCGTGTATCTATTGAACATGACGTAATTTTCTCTCTAGTCAATGCATTATGACGTCATAAAATGCGTCATTTTCCCCATATTCTGTAAATTCCCTTAAAAATGGCCAAAAGTTGAGGTATTTTTTCAATATTTCATATAGAGCACAACCTCTGATCCAAAATATGCAATTACATAATGAAAGATCTGTTTCTGAAGATCACAAAACATGATTTAATTTTTGGATCGTGGGCTGTGCTCATATTTTAATTCTTTGCTGAAGGTAGTCAAATACGCATGTTTTCTGCAAAATTCATGAACATTGCATTTTCTCAAAGCTTGTTTTCCAATACCTGGATTCTCAAAAAGAAATTTTGTTATAGGAAATTAAAGCACCAAGTCTCTACTTTATTTTGATATTTGAAATGGTACAGAGGGTGATAGTCAATTAATTTATATAAGGACAGGGCCATTTTATGCATAAAGTGAACCTAGCTCTTTCATTGGTTAGTACGAAGTTTAAATTCACCTACCTCTTTTCTGATTGGTTGGTAAGCTGCATCTATCTTCTTGGTCACCTTTTTTAAATGAGCACCTTCACTCTATTTATAAAGAATAAATTATTAGAAGTTCTGCTGAGTGTGTTGAAACAGAGATAAAATAATGGTAAAATAATGTAAGTTTATTTTAATCTGAGTGCCTTTTTCACACTTTTACTCCAGAATAAGACATTGTGAGCAAATCCATATGGACAAAAATAATCACAAATCTATAAACAAGAATTTTGATCAATTAGACGATGTCGGCACAGTCGCTATACTGACATCAAATTAATAGAGCCGATCAAAAATAATTTGAAGTTATTTTCATCGATAATGTGAACTTTTGCGTAGGCGGTTGAATGTTTTTATACATGTACAATCCATATATACCCGGTATAGGATCGCAAATAACTTTGAACGGTTTTTTAGCCTTTATTGGTCAGCTGAGCAATAAAATAACTCTTCTTTAAAAAAAAAAAAAAGTAGAAATGCCATGCGTGATAAATATGCTAATTTACCACAAACTGCGTCATAATCCTGCGGAATGGTTTAGTTCTCAGCTCCCATTTAGCAGACGTCTGATTAATGGCTAATTCTGCAGCACAGGTCAAGGAGCGAATCACTTCTCTACCGTTTACGATTATGTTATGGATCGGTCCTAAAATCAAAAGGACTAAAGCATCATGTTTACTTCTAAACGTAAATGCACAAATGTACTGTAGACATAGAATTAATAAAGATATATTGTTTGTTGCAGTTATTGCGTTCTTTTTTTAATTCTTATTATTTTTTAAAATGTTATTTATTTATTTTTTGAAGGGGGGGGTACAAGAACTGGAAAATTAATTAATTCAAACAATATTGTTTTCGTGAAAGAGTATTAATAGGGTATATTGGAAAATAAAATACTTTACAATAAAAGAAATCAAAGTAAATATAATACATTTAGGACAAAAAAAACGGATAACTTGAAAGAGAGGAAAACAAAATCCAAAAAAAAAAAAACTTCTTAAATAAATGACAGAGCGAGATTAAATCTTGTAAAGGGTATCACAGACCCGTAGCAACGGTTTCAAAGGGGGGGGGGGGATTCTCAAAATTATCCGACAAGCAAAAAAAAGTTAATTTACTGTCCAAATACTGCAATTTGACAGTGCTTGACCTTATAACAGCAAAAACTGGGGGGGGGGGGGGGGGGGCAACCAGCATCTAAATTTACTATAGCAAAATACTGTGACCCCCTCCCTCCTTACTGGAAAAAAATTAAGGATCCCCCAACACCCGATAACATGGAAGATTATGAGGATTGTCGTATATACCTGCAATGAGAAATACGATTGCATAGGTTCCTATAAACGATCGTCCTTTCTTTCCGAAGAATGTGGGGATAAGCAACCAAGCGATGCATCGCACCTGCGCCGATATCGCGTATCCGGTAGCTAACCCCAGACCCAGGAGTCCGCCCACCAACTCACTTGTATCTTTCTGTAGATTTAATGGGGCCAATACCGCCAGGTATAGACCTAGATAAAAATTAAATAAATTTATCTTCATGGATGCCAAAATTTAAAAAAAAAAGAAGAAAGTTTTGAACAAATTAATGTATACATAGTATTAAAAAGAAATTAAATCAAGGAGAGATATAAGTCGTTTTTGAACAACTGCAAAGTAAAATTTAGCTACAGTTAATATTTTTTACGTAGAAGTAGTAAGCGCCTCATCTATTGATTTAATCATTTTAATTTATTTTACAATATGCTTATATTTGATCAATATATTTAAATGATCAAATGATCAAATACTTTAAAAATGCAGAAAATAAATTCAAGTAATAATAAACCCACCAAATGCTAAAAGAGCCCCTGTTGGAAACCCCAACACCGTTTTTATCCCGCTGTATTCCCCCGGATCCGATTGTACAACGTCCCTTAATTTATCGACTAAGAAGAAAAAACCTGAAATAGAGGATCAAATTATATTAATTAAAAACAAAATGTTAATAACATGCATAAATTCATTCCCAGTTGAATTCACCCATTCTTTACCAAAACACTGATTCCTGACTCCGATTCTCAGAAGTAAATAAATTTCAATATCTACTTGTTAAAGTCACATATTACGTATTTTATAAGTTCAGACTAACTAAAATTAAAAAGATCTTTCTATTTGTTTTATTACTTTATAGATAGATAGGACTTTCCTGTAAATGACACATTTTAAAGCAATCACGTTTCAATGGTATTAGAAATTTAAAACAATAAACGATTTATTTACCGACTCCGCATTTAAATAAACGACACAGTTTAAAGTCAATATAAGTATGGAAACGAGGTTATTCAAGTTCAAAACTTTTAACGTAAATAACATATATCATGTAAATCTACTCTAAATCTCGATTTTTTTTTAGCTCAGATATGCCATATATAGCTTTAATGATACTCGTTATTAGAAATATTACATGTTATGTATATTAGATATCTGGCCCGTAGTATACGTACATTGGATTGGAGGGGGGTGGGGGGGAGGGATATTCGATCTAAACATGTTTCAAGGGCTCGGGCGTTGTCAATTTGACAGCGTCCTTATAAACAAAACTTACCCAATGTCTAGCACAGGTATTTGTGGACAGGACCCCCCCCCCCCCCCACCGGTATTCAACCCCGAGGTTTGTTGGACATTTTTTTCACAAATTATATTTATTGCACTTATTCATCATGTGTACCATAGGAAAAAATCGTGAAAACCCCAAAATAATCGTTCCACACAAAAAATGCCTCATTATACATTAATAATTTGTGAAAAAAAATGTCCAACAAGCCTCGAAGTTGAATATCGGGGGGGGGGGGGGGGGGTCCTGTCCACAAGTACCTGTGATGTCTAGCTGACTTGAGGTATTAATACCCACTCTGACTCGATAAAAAGTTTACAAAAGTACCAGTAATCTGTAAGCATATGTAACGGGAGAGGAGAAAAATGCAGCGGACCAGACCGGAACTCGAACCCGAGCCCCCTTAATCCCCAGTCAGGTGCTCTACCAACTAAGCTATCTGGCCACCGGCGATCGAACCCGTCTGACCGCCACACTCCTCCCTCCTTAAAGGTCTTTGCCCCCCCCCCCCCCCAAAGACTCCAACCCAGGCTCATCCTTGCCAGGCCTCTCACCTGTCACTTCCAGGGCATGGCACGGCACAAAATGTAACGGGAGAGGAGAAAAATGCAGCGGAGCAGACAGGGAATCGAACCCGGGCCCCCTGAATCCCCAATCAGGTGCTCTACCAACTGACCTATCTGGCCACCGGCGATCGAACCTGTCTTATAGGTCTAAAATGCCTATTAGCCTAATAGTGATCGACATTGTGATTGATGATGATCATCATTGATTTTCACCGACTTCGCAAAGGGAAATAGTTCTTTGACCGTCGATGACGATATGTGCATTAGCTTTGGGAAGATTACTTAAGTTCGGATTTACATGTAAATGCACCTATCGACATTTCCTTACACGTATAAGCAGTATGGAAGTTCTAGATCTTCATCTGGTTTCGTCACACGACAGTCTCGGCTCTGGGGCCATAAAACTTAGATGATCTCACTTTTGATTTCAGTCTCACTTTTCCCTTATAGGCCTAAATTTCTTTGGTAAAAGTGAGACTGAGATCAAAAGCGAGCTTGTCTAAGTTTTATGGCCCCAGGCATCGATCTTGATACGAATGAGAAAACATTTTGATGTCTTTAATGAACTTACAAAGGTAAATTTGGCTTCCTTTTCTTTTCTTTCGCCTTTTATACTTCTTTCGTATATGATTAAACATATATTCCTCATATGTTAGCTTCTTATTGTCATCTTTTTCCTCATCGAATTCCATGTTTACAGACGCCATTATCAACTCATGACGTCTTTTTCTATTATGACGTCATTTTTCCCACAGCTGAGAGCTGTCTTCGATCTGTGCAAAACAGCCTATTCAAGTTTTTGCGTATGTCATTTAATTTTATAACTTGAGTTTAAGGGGGTGGGGATACCCCCGCCCCCCTCCTACAGTGTATGCTAAAGAAGAATATGTCTTCTTCTTCCTTAGAAAATAAACACGCTATGTAAATCAACGGTATGTTGAAAATAAACACGGTATGACTAAAACAAGAATTATTGTGATTATTTATTGCACGTTCTCTTAGTTTCAGTGTCTAGTATATTTATGCAAGATATATCTTTAAAAAAGTAGAGAACACGCTCATCTGGCTTTATATAATAAGAGTTTACAAAGCTATAATTCAATCTTTTTCATTTGAATTATTATGGGGATGACGCTAAAAATCGAATAAAGCAGAATGCTCACAAATGTAAACCCCCCCCCCCCTTCTCCTTTTGACCATGCCTATAAATATTAAAATAACTTTTTTCTCCATTTGTTCTTAGTCGGACAGAAGACTAATTATCACAAATGTGACAGAGTGTATGACCTATTCAGTTCAGGGCACTTTATTCAATTTCTGATAGCAATCTATTTATAGACCTTGGTACTATCGGTACTATATATAACTTTTAGAAGAGGTTATTAAGACCACTAAGTACTTTTGAAGAGTAAATAATCGAAACAAAAGAAATCGATCCTAGAATTGAATCATTTACAAAATTATTTAATTCAAAACTGGTACATTAATTATTGACTCTGGATCGGGAACATGTATAAGTACTTATTTACATGTAATTTGCAACAAGGGATTAAAAAAAGTGATACTTTCCAAACTACTATAATTGCATTAGTTCTGCTCACTCTGGTCCACCTTGATCTGTTAAGAATTTCTGAAAAAGGATTCTCTCTCTCTCTCTCTCGTTTTCTTTATATATCTTCTAGATGAATATCTGATTGGGAGGATTAGGAAAGTTCATTCACATATATTCTACATTTGACATACTTTGACACTCACAGATAACGCAGGTTTAGGACACTCCGATGTAATTTTGTGATGAACTTGTTTATAATAATCGGATCCTGTCTATATACTTTTAAAACTCTTAGAATATTATTAATCAATCAATAAACTATTTAATTCTTATTCATCTCATAAAATTTTTCCATCTATTAGAAAATTAATATTGAATATCTGTCTGCTTAATATAAAAAGGAATTTATGAAATGTAACTCAAATTTCTGAACATCCTTTCAACATAATTTTGGAGTTTGAATTTTTATACAGTCTGCATTTGCAATTTAACAAAAATGAATAAAGAAAAAAAAATATTAAAATTAAAAAAAAGTAAGTAATAAATTTCCAAAAACAAAAACAAACAAACAAACAAATAGAAAGAACTACATTCAGCAGTAGTGTAAATCTAGCCTGTCTCACGGCGCTCTAAACCCAGCTCAGGGCTAAGGGCCAACGCTAGATGAACAAAATATAACTAAAAAAATTAAAATAAAAAAAATGACAATAAATATTAAACATATGGAAATAATAAAAAAAATGAAAATTAATAGAAAAAGGGAAGAAGAAAAAAATCAAATTTAAAGGGGGAGAGGGGGGGGGGCAAAGCAAAATTGAGAAAACCTGACTAAAAATTATCGGTCGAATTTCCGTAAGGAGCAAATTAATCTACCTTGGCCTACTTAAGTCAGTAAGAACGTACCAACTTAGTTAGATCTATAGTCTATAGTTCTCTCGTAATATTCCAAAGGGTCAAACTGTCGCAGAAAGAATGTCACAAAATAAGAACACAAATTCTGGCTGCATCTTCGTCACAAGCGCGCTTGTAATTGGAACTGCGCTTGCTTGTCTTGTTGCAGTAAATTTTTATCAAATATGGACACTAAAACAGGATATAGAGTTTTTAAAACTGCAATGCAACTTCATATCGGTAAGGATATTTTCTGTACAAGTTCTAGCTATAGATTCGAGGGATTCCGAAAATTTACGTGTCACAGAATAAAATCAATTGGGTCAAAATGTGAAGTACTTAATAAATTTTTGAATCAATAAATCAGAGAAATTTATACTTATTTATATATATATATATATATTTATATTAAATGGGAATGACAGTAATAAAGTAATAACATTTTTTAATAGGTTTCACCACGATCTTTAACCTGGAAAAGGTATATGGACTATAATGATTCTGATTTTCGTGTTTGATGAAAGTCTCATTTTGCGCTTTTTGCATTTGCTGGTTGCATTTATGTAAGCAGGGTTTTGTTATGTATAAATGTTGAAATACATGTACGCTGTATATATTCGATAAGATTTTCAAATTGAAACTCTCCTTGCATACATGCCGCCGCTTGGATATGCTTGACATATAAATATTGTGATGTATATACATGTAGCTCACCCAACTTGTGCTTGATTTAGACAGTTCATTAGGGGGGTTGTTTCAATTGTTCTGATGGAACATCCGCTGCAATTTTTTCTCCCTTCAGAAATGTGTCGATTTCGTTCCGAGGATTAATTCCAATGCTTCTCTCAAGTTATCTACAGCGTAAAAAAGCATCAGTTCACCATCCCCCAGCCCCCACCACATCAAAACAACAAACATATATATGGAGGTCCACGATTCTTATTTTCTTGAGAAGAAGAAAAAAATAAAGGATATAAGAGGGTTGTCAAAAAAATCATTACGTCGTCCTGTTGTTACTACTGTATTTTAAAACAACTTTATTTACTTACATTACATGTATTTGTTTATTTTATCTATTTGTTTATTTATATTACACAATGGATCCAATTTACTGGGGATGAAGTAATTTTAGTGTATATAATTTTGATATGTAAATTTAATTCAGAATGATTGAGGAAGTCATTATCCCAACTGCATTTATTAAAAATTGGATAAACCAAAAAAAAAAAAAATCTATCAAATACTGTTTTCTTTATTTTGCAAACTTAGCTTTTTAGGCTTTTTTTTATTCGTTGTAACCACCGGTTCTTGTGGACAGGACTCCCCCCCCCCTCCTCCCCACCGATATGCTACCCCAGGGCTTTTTCGTCTTTTCTTTTCATAAGTTATATTTAATACAGTTCCATATCAATTATAAAGAAGGAAAAATAGTGGGTAAAATCATTGTTCCAAACAAAAAGTACCTCACTATACCTATATAGTGGGGTATTTTTTTTCTCCATGGAACAATTATTTTGATTTTTTTTCCCATTTAAATTGTCTATCGTATATACAATTTACGTGAGTGTAAAAAATAAGTAAATATAACCGTTAAATGGTGAAAATAGATGAACAAGTCTTGGGGTTGTATGTGGAAAGGGGGAGGGTCCATAGGAACCTGTGGGTAAGCTTTGTGTGTTGTTAGAATCATGATTTGCATTTTGAAAAAAAAAAAAAAAGCCTGACCTAAACAGTAGCTTCTGTAAGATTGATTTTGAATTTCTCTGCATTTAAAAAAAAAATTATACAAACAGCTCTGAGCTTTTCGTGTTTTCTGGTTGTCTTCACCCACTATCAAATGACAACAGTTGTTTGAAAATCTTAACATATTGGGACTGTAATAAATGCTTTTATGAATACCGTACATGCATTTCTGTTTCATTTTAATTGATTTGAACTAAATACACATTCCTTTTAAAATATATATTCTGCAGAATGACCCTGGAAAAGTTAATGGTGACACAGAAAGGACAAAGAGACAAGTTGTTGGAGATTTATCTACTTATATCAGAAATATAACGGTAAGACTCGGGCGTGGATCTAACTTTTTTTTATCCGGGAAGGGGAATTGGGATAATATATATAAAATACGATCATTTGATACAAAATAATTCAATTCGCGTATTTGTAACCGATTCTGTTAAAGATTGTTAATCGATCTACTTCTCTAATTAAATTCAGCAGTACAATTTTCTAGCAATTCCTTTATCTTTTCAGCGCGGTTTTATAAATATATAATTCCATTTTTTTTTTTTCAGAATCAACAATTGGAAATAAAATGTAATGTCAATACAACAATATGTTTACAAGGTACGTCCACTTTATGTCATAGAAAGGTATCCGCTTTTAACGTGTGTGTGTGTGTTTTTTTAAACATGTACCGTGCATAACTTTTACTGTATTGCCAATTATTTATTTTTGGAAGGAATATTTATTAAAACTTTGATCCTCCGATAGCATTTAAAATTTAGATAAATGTATATATCTGATATTTTAGTTATACAATTAGAGCTTTTTTAAAGGTCAATTCAATGATTTAATTACCCAAGGAGTACAATTTTTACCGAGCCCGAAGGGCGAGGGGAATGTTGTACTTGAAGGTTTTCTTTTTCATCGTATTGACCGAAGAAGAACACTTACTGTATAATTATTATATTTTTATTCAACTGCTATTAGATGATTATGAGTATTTTCAAATTATTATTAAATGTCTTGTTACGTAAAATTCTAGACTATCTTAAGTATATTGACGACAATACATGTTTTTAAACAACCTCACATTCTGATTATTTTCATCATACTTCCAGGGAGTAAGGGTGAAGTTGGGCTTCCAGGTAAAGATTTTTTAATAACTTCTCAAAACGGACTTTTACAATAAAAAGTCTGTTTAAAAATAATCATAAAATTCATAGTGATAATAATTACTTGCAGACATTGATGTTTTTGTTTTAATTTATCAAATTTAGGTTTACCCGGAAGTAAAGGCGATACCGGAAGTAAAGGTGCTCAAGGTCTTGCTGGACTTCCTGGTTTACCAGGTAAAGCTCACATGTCTATATATCTATTTTTCGAATCTGACTCATTTATTTGAAACATTTTATTAAAAGCAATTCTAATCGAAACGTTTTTATTATATCTAAATTTACTTCAGTTGTACCAAATTATGCGAAAAGAAAACAATTTATATTAATTTCTAAACTTATTTCTGAACTATCAAAGAATTTCCAAATCTGATATTGTTAATACATGTATGACCCTTCATATCAGAATTTTTGTATCTGAATATTTTTGCACTATGTAATTTGTTTTATTAAGGTGCGGACGGACACAATGGATCTAAAGGTGGTGACGGACCAATGGGACCTGTAGGGGCCAAAGGTGACATGGGTTTACCAGGGGTCAAAGGTGAAACTGGCGTAAAAGGTGACACTGGTGTTCAAGGCTTACAAGGGCTTCAAGGTCAGTATTGAAATTTACTGCTAAACATAATTTTATGTATCATGTAGCTTGCTTCAAAATTTTTCTTACACATAGTATTAATAACGTTTCATAGTGTTGAAACCAAAAACGAAACCAATTGATTTATAAAAAGCGATTTTTAAAGGATAGATGTAGATTTGAAAATAGGTCTGAAGGGACTTCACACAAAAGTACTTCTAGGCAAGTCTCCATTTCCTATGAATTTTTAAGGTTTAAAGGGTGAGATGGGTGACGCGGGTCAGAATGGTATGAACGGAACACGGGGTACTCCTGGGATTCAGGGAACTACTGGACTTCCGGGAAGTAAAGGTCAGCAAACTGTATCATTAAATGGTGCAAGGTATAACTAAACAAAAATATTTTAAGGAAATTATGGATTTATAAAGGATCCTCCACTGTGTTGTCTTAATATGTATACTCAACTCAAGTATAGAAGCATGTTGCTATTTGTGTCACTCAAAAAGTGAAATCTTGAATAAATTCAAGATCCTCCTCTGTGTTGATATGTAACTAAACATGAAATTACAGGGGAACCAGGATTATCAGGACCCCCGGGTCTACCAGGGCTACAGGGGGCTACTGGACTCCCGGGGCAGAAAGGAGAACAAGGTGTGAAGGGCGAAGATGGACCATTTGGACCGACTGGAACAAAGGGGGAGCAAGGAGTTAGGTCCGTCTGTTTGTCACTTAGTGTATTCGATCATTTTGTGCCTATATATCTCAATGTCTGTCTGTCTGCATTCTCCATGTCTACATGTATTTGTATAGCAATAATTTGTCTACCCGTGTATCTGTCAGTATTATTATGATCTCTCTCTCTCTCAACTTTAAACCGTGGTGTTTTACTAAAAAATCATGGAACATATATACGCAATCAACATTTCAGTGGGATGAACTTTTCATGAAATCTGTACGAAGAAATGTACAAATTGCAATTAAAATTTTATGATGATTTTCTATTTGTTGAAATATTTGAAATCTTCAAGAAATATTTCAGTGGTCCCCAGGGACCAAAAGGCGCCGTGGGACTTCAAGGACTTCCGGGTCAACCTGGGTCAAAAGGTGAACAAGGTCAGATGGGACTTCCCGGTGCACCAGGAGCAGCAGGATTAGATGGACTTCAGGGATTACAGGGACAGAAAGGAGAAATGGGACCACAGGGACCAAAGGTGGGTTTTTTTTTTTAAATTATTGCTTAATTAATTTTTAATATTTCAATACAAGTCCAATAACTTTTTTTTCAAACTGTGCAGAAACATGTGGACCTGAATTCTTAATTTTGTTAGAGAGACAAACTTTCAAAACATTCAAGCACTCTCTTCTTAAAACCGCTTCGTCTGTGAACTTTCTACAGTAATTAATTTATGTTCGTCTAAAACTAATGACTTAAATCCAAAAATCATCACACGCCAGAAACGTTTATTTCTGTCTACAATGAAAAGGGAAATACTGGTGATGCTGGTCCATTCGGACCTGCTGGTGTTAAAGGCAATCAAGGAGTACCTGGTTTGTCCGGACCCAAAGGAGAGAGGGGTGAAAAAGGAGAAGCTGGACAGATGGGATTTACGGGTGCGCAAGGTCAAAAGGGAGAGCAAGGAGTTCAAGGTTATTTTATTTTATTTTTTTTTTTTTTGATTTCGTAATTTTACAGCAAATGATTTTGCAAGATTTTTTAAACGTGTATCACATACAAGACTTGCATTACTCAAGTTATAAAATCTCTTATTTTAAATTATTCACTTGACCTAACATCCTTATTGCATAAATACATTTTTTTCAGTCTCCAAATTGATCAATTAATATATTATATTATGTTTAAATTTTGTCAGAGTGCTAGCTTAAATACCAGGTTAAAGTCTAGTAGTTATTCTTTATTCAAAAAGATCACTGTTTTTTTTTTAGGATTTCAGGGGGTTACGGGGCAGAAAGGAGAATACGGAAGCATAGGTCCAGTTGGACTTCCGGGTTCACCTGGACAACCAGGGATTATGGGAATAAAAGGGCAACCTGGACCTCAAGGCCTGCCTGGATTAAAGGGAGAATTGGGGCCTAGGGTGAGAGAGAAAATGACACTGTAACACACTGTAAAATTAATGTAGATGAACTAGTATGCATGTACATTGAAAATTATTTCGAAGTTGACATTGAATTTATGCGCATTTTTTTTTTATTTCAAATGTATGTAATATTCTAACCTTCACTGAGGTCTTTGTTCACTTTTTGTATGATGTTAGTTACTGACTTATAGCAAAGAAAATTAAATAAAGTAGTAATGCTATAATTTTTTAGTGTAAAACAATTTTGTAAAGTATAATTATGCAAACAAAATTACCAAACTCTTCTGATTCTACATAATGGTACATGTATATAAAATATCAATTTATAGGGATACAATGGACTTCCGGGTCCAGCTGGCGCCATTGGTCCTTCCGGTCCACAGGGTCAGAAAGGGGAGAGAGGACAACAGGGATACTTTGGACAAAAGGGGGAGAAGGGGGACACTGGAGCTGGCAGCGACTGCTGTACACACTTAGGTAAAATTAGACCAGTGGCCTGCAAATTTAAAGATCAAAGGTTAAAGTTCTGTGTCTCAAAAAGTTCTGTGCATTTTTTTTTCGTTATTTTTTTTAGCAAAACCTACAATTCAAGGAAGCGTAGGAACAATATATCACGTGACAGCGAAAGAGAACAACACCGTCATTTTACCATGTAAGGTCAACGGCTATCCTCCGCCCAAGGTCACGTGGTCCAAAGATAATGGTGTCCCCGTTATCAACCAGGGCGTGTTAACTGTAAATGGTCTGCTTCTAGTGGATGTTCATGTAAGGGACTCCGGAAATTATACCTGTAAAGCCGAGAGCATTCTGGGAATTCAAGAAAAAATTGTAGAATTAATGGTAAAAGGTAAATTTATTCTTTTTGTTTAGATTTTATGAAATTAAATAATACACATGTAATTCTAAATAAATCCATTTCTTTTTATATAGTCGGTGTAAGCGATGTGAGACTCTTTTGAACGTTAATGCTTTAACTAGTCTCAAAGTTTTATTCAGTTTTGTTATCCCCTTGCAACGAAGTTTGAGGGGATAAAGTAACACGTATGTTTGAGTTTGATAGAGTGAGTGCGTGCGTGCGTAACGGAAATTACGCAAGTGATAATTTTATATCGGGATCGAAGTGCCTTTTTCGAGGGAATGCTCTGCTTTGCGGTGCCCTTGTTATTTTTGATTTTAAACCTGAGTTGTACCTTAGAGATTTTTTTTCATATTTTGGAAAAAATTCAGCTTTGATCTAGATATGCTTGGTTCACTTCAGTGAATCAGAAAAATTGGAATAGAACTTCTATGAGCTTAATGATAATATAAACTAATCTACGGGATTTTGTTTCAGATGGAAAAGCAAAAATTCATCCAGATCTAGAATACGTCGGTGCTAAGGTAAATATTTTAATTGAACAATTTTACTTAAAGTAAGATTCATATACAGTCAAACCTTGATAATTTCGAACCTAATGAGACCAAAATTAAACTTTGAAATATCCGATTTGAAATGACAAGGATTAGGACATTAATTTAAAAAAAAAAAGTGGTTGGTACGGTCAACTCATTTCGACATATACCGGGTTTTCGAGATATCAGTGTTTGACATAACAAAGTTCACATGTTGTGAATGACCCCGCCCACACCCCCCCCCCCCTCTCAAGTCTACATGTATAGTTAATGACAACCCTCCTTTCAAGTCCATAGATGAGATTTAGGTATGAAGGGTTAAATGGATATTCATCCCAATATACATTCTATAGCATTAGTTTGATACAAAAAAAAGTCATGTATAATGTATCTCATATTGATAAATAAAAAGGTGTCTTGTATAAGTCAGTAATAAACAAACTCGAGATTAAATTTACAAGATTTTCGTTTCCTTTTCTTTTAGGTGGGACAAATTGTACAAAACTTGTGCAGGGTTACAGAAGCTGATCATTACAACCTTCAGTATTCCAAGGTCACAGGGTCATTTCCGGTTCACAACATTAACCCGGATGGGAGTATTCAGTTCGCAATGACAGGGGAACGTGACACTGGAGAATACCAGTGCGAGGCTACAACGGATACCGGAAATGTGTTTGCCGCCTTTTATGGTAAATCTTGCTAAACCAACAAGTGCTTCATTAGCTACTTTTTTTGAAAATGAAATTCAACGCCTTTTGTACATGTTGTCATAGTGGTTAATTTTTGTTTTCTTTCTCAAACTACCTTGCCGTGAATAAAAGTCATGGCCTTGACAAAGTCATAACAAAATCATTATATTGTTACCACAGGCACCTGACGTTACTTATTCTTCTTTCAATAAAAAAAATATACCCCCTACCTATTAATACATGTATTATTAGGTACGGGGTATATTTTTTTATTAAAAGAAAAATGTGTATTAACGTCAGGTGCCTGTGATTGTTACAGTACATACAGTTTGAATGTTATGATTCAGTAGAAAAACTGAGAAATAAACAAATCCTGATTATAAAATTGAGGGGAGGAATATCCATTTCAATGAGAAGTGAACATATGATGGATGTAATGTAATACATGACTAGTATGTTCTTAATTAAAAAGAAAAATATTTTTTTCTTTTCTAGTTTATAAAGACATGGGGCAACTCACATGTCAGACCACATTTGCTGATTGTGCAAAATTGGACAAGTCTTACTGCGGGTAAAATCTAGAAAATGTATAAATTATTCAATGGAAATGACGCCATTTAGTTATGACGTAGGCGTATATATTTCAATAATTTGAAACATAATTCTTGAGTAGAATGTTATTTTTCTAAATTTCAGTGGCACTTGTCCTGCAGGATGTACTGATCTTAATGAAGTCTTCCACGCACATCGATTCGCACTGGTAGGAATATATCATGGACTCTCTAGTGCTTTAAACTGAATTTTAACGCATGCGCAGATTTTAGTTTCAGATATTTTCGGTAACTTAAAAAAGAAATACACTTCTGTCTTTTAAAATGTTTTCTATATATTATCAATAAAAATCTACACTATGACTAGGTAAAGTATTCATAATGCAAACTTTAATCATTGATAGATAGATTTTTTTTTTCAGAAAAACAATACTGTAAACCAACTATTATATTCAACAATTTGTGTGTTTTATTCGCGATTCGTCAGTTTAAAGTCAATCCGCAACGATTAATTTTCGCGACTGAGGAAACAATCTTTATGAATACAAAGCAAAATAAATGATTCGCGGCGATTAATATTCGCGAGTTAAAGTAGGTCGCGAAAGTCGCGAATATTTCTCGCACGCGAATAAAAGTTGGTTTATACGGTACTTCTTTCCAAAATGTTGATAAATAGACAAATTTAATAATAATCTTAGTAAATATATACATGTGTATATAGGCTTCAAAGATCATATTTAGTTTGTAAATTAGTTATAAAATATGAATATAAAAATTAGCGAGAAATTTAAAAGGAAACCATTTTCTGTTCCTGGCAAAACATCTCTTTAGAGAGGAATCATAGCCGGTTTTTTTTTTTTTCATTCCATAGATAATTGAACATTCTAATTCCAGAATGATGATTATTGATATTGTAGAATTTACCTGTATGTCGGGCCGCCTTAAATAGCGGTGATCTGACGTCATTGGGAGGTCACGTGGTTTGGAAAAATGAACATGCAAAGTAAGAAAATTACTCATTTAATATATACTGAAGCATCATTTTATCTGTATATAGCATTTACGTACGGTACATTAAGTTTGGGGTTATTTAAATAGTTTAACAAATACGTTTGCTGTTTTTCACCGAGTTTACATTATGTGGTTCATTCCTCCAAAGTATATGTATGGGATTTTTCCATTTATAGTGCGCTTTATGATGACATGCCATCATAATCATGCCATATAATTACAAGGGACTATGTTTTTGCGCATGCTCAATGAAGACATTTTGCAGCCATTAGGGCTTGCAAAACATGCATGGTTTCCATACTGTTTGAAGACATTCTACAGAATAACCTTTTTTCACATGGTATTATTTGCATTATATGATATGGGATCTTCCATTAATGGTACATTTTATCTAATTATAACTTTTGTTACAATTTTGGATTAACAGTGCCCTGTATTCTATGTTGACCGATTTATCCGTTTGCTATTCACTCTCACTTTCCTTTTTTCTCTAGTTTGTTTGCAGTATGGGATTTTTTCCCTTTGCAATTGCTTTCTTGTAAACAGCGTTAATCCCCCAAATTATGAATTTATAGTGTATGATTTATCCGTTTACAGCGTTAATCCCCCAAATAATCAATTTATAGTGTATGATTTATCCGCTTACAGTGTTAATCCCCCAAATTATCAATTTATAGTGTATGATTTATCCGTTTAAATTGTGCTTTATCCTCGAATAATTCAAATTGTTTGTTTACAATATGAGGTTGTTCTCTTTACAGTACCAGTATCCGTTTATAATGCGCTTTATCCCATTCTAGTATGATTCGTTTGTTTTACAACATATGATTAGTTTACAGGATTTATCTTACTTACAGTATCTTTTATATCTGTTTACAGCGGCGGTGAGGCTTCAGAGTTTGTACAAGCCACACAAGTTAAACGTCCATCTCTTGCCATACTGGGATAACTACGCCATCTCCAAATTAATTTCATCATATTTATATATTATATTCAAATGTAATTTGTGTACATTACCATGTAATAAAACCTATATAAAGAAGTCTTTTTTAAACCTGCAATTTATACAACAATTTTAGGCCTAAAGTTTTGCAGAACTATTTTTGATGGGTTCTAAAGATATACTTGTATAGGAAAACAGTGAGATATAAAAAATACAAAATATTTGGCTTTCAAATATATTGTACATCTAAAATATGTCAACTTAGAATTTTACATTTAACTCTATCTAGTATTCCCTTGCTAGGTACAATTTCACATCTATGGCAATTACTTTTAGTTGTTCTTTGTATAGTGATAAGTGTAAATTGTAATTGACTTTCACAAAATCTTGATTTCATAGCTAGTGCCATTGAGCACCCTATATTTCACGTTCCATCGGACAGATACTTGGGAATTCTCGTATGAGCTCTGCCATACTTGGTAGCCATCACATATTCGCAGCTCCTCTTACACCGCTGAATGCAATTAAATGTCATTTTTACAGAACCTTAAGGTTATAACATACATGTGTAGTGCCATTTTGCACCTCTTTCGATCGGAAATATATTTGCGGTTTCCAATAGCAATGGACTTTGCCATTCTTTAACATTCTGGGTACCCATCTCTCATAGGCAACCATCCTAAATCACTGAATAAAATTCAACGAAACTTTTACAGAATCCTTTAAGTTATTACATGGGTCTATACATTGTGTACCTTTTTTTCTTTTTTTTCTTTTTTACTTTTTGATCGGACGCTGTCAGAATTTTGGGGTTTTCAAAATGAACTTTGCAATTATATATACTCGATAAAGGGGGTTTCCATTTTTTTAACGCAACTCCTCCTAAATCCCTGAATTAAATTCAATGGAAATTTTACAGAATCCATTTTACTCTTTCACCTTCTGCCAAGAAATGCACTGTGACATTTTACTCATATGGGGGGGGGGGGGGGGGGTTATTACTTTATTTTCGTGAGCTGAGTGCTTACAGTACGTCTAGTTTCTTTTATATGAAAATATTCTCGAGTTCATTGATTAATGTCCGTGATAAATATACAACCTATTTAAAAAAGGAACATACAGTCTAGAGAGACAAAGAACGATGAAAAGTTAATACAAGTACTGGAAAAACCGTCTGCATATAATGCCGAATCTTAACTTGGATTTCGCAAATTCCATGGCCGATACAATGACCTTGTCAGCAAAAACAATATATAATTAAGTCGAATGTGGACTGACTTGCTATGTCATTATTTTTACACTGAGTAGTCTACGGATTTTTCCGTTTTCCCGATCATGACAAGGACCTCACGGCGGGTGTGACCGGTCGGCAGGGGATGCTTACTCCTTCATGGCACCTGATCTCACATTGGATGTTTTTAGAAGTCCGTTTTGTCTTGCTCCAAACTTGTATTGTTTCAATGGATTTATAAGCTTGATTACTGTTCGTTATCTTCAGATTTCATTTTTAATTTTTGTATATATAACTAAACAATTGATATGTTATTATAAATATTTATTTCGTTTCGGGGAATAGAGACATTTGTAGTATGGTAATATCACTCGCATACATACTATGTATATATATTTTGCATTTAAAAACAAACTTATACACCTTTCCCAAACAAAAACACACACACACACACAAAAAAAAAAACATTTCAAGAACATAACATTACTTTATCACCATATTTGTGATAGAAACACTGAATCATTATAAATATATATTATACACATGTACAATAGGATGAAATAAAATAATGGAATTCTTCAAGTATCAAAACAGCCACTTGTACAAAATATCGACAAACATCATGATCATGGATTTGACAAAGCCAACTAAGAATTTATAAAACCCGTGTGTTTGAATATTATTTTTTAAAACAGAAAATTTGGTGAATACTCTTTGACATTTGGATAAAATTGATATAAAAATAGTGAACAGATAGCCGCTACTTATTTCTAGAATCACTTATAACAAAACGCAAACATAAAATAAAAGGAGGCAAAAGAAGATCCCTAGTTATCCTACATCAAAAGAAGATGTAAAAAGAAAATGGAACAAAACGACTTGTAGGCAAATTTTTGTGAGATGCTTCATAATGTTATTAACATGCAGGGGGGGGGGGGGGGCGCTCACTTTTTTCTGGATATAGTATCTTGCCATAGTAAATTTACCTTTAGATGCAGGTTGCACCCCCTCACTTTTTGTTGCCGTAAGGTCGAGCACCAGGAATCAGACAGTTATTTAGGATTTTTTTTTTTTTTTTTTTTTTTGCTTGCCAGGTTTTTTTGGGAAGTTGAACCCCCCCCCCCCCTCTGCACTTTTTGGTCAGTTTAGATTTTTCTTTTGGAGAAGTTGCTCCCCCCACCCCCACCCCCAACTTTTGAAAACGTTGCTACGGGTCTACCTCGTCCTTACAATGAACTCTTTCTAGCATTTCATTATAGGACCATAAAGCATAGATTTCCATAGAATTACACAGGCATCACTCATAGCTCCTCGAGAGGCTCGTTCCTCGCACGCTAGCTAACCTCGGACGTGAGCGGTGTTTTACAATTTTGCTCATACAATCATGTGATCCAGTTCGAAATTCTTCCAAGTATTATTTCTCTGAGTTAATTTTGTGGCCAACCCAGCACTATGTTTCTGCTTTCAAAGACTATCAACGGAAGGTTGTAATCAAAACCAACGTACAAGGAAGAATTAGACAAGATAGGAAATCTTTTCGGTGAACTTTATGCAGAGGGAAATATGAAATGAGTTAAAAGGCAGTTCCGGCGGAGAAATTCATCGATTTGGAGCATATTCCTGCACCAATCACATCCGAAGTTGTATTGAGCGTAGCTGAGACAGTCGAGGATTGCCGTTTGCACAGACAAAAGATAGAGCTCATTTCATTTTCTAAACCAACCGCCTAAAAATCATTCACACATGTACACGTTTAAGCTCAAAAACATATAATAAATAATCCTCGAAACGGACATTTTAAATCATAAAACATATAGCAAGAATGATATAAAACAATGGCGTAGAAATTGCATTTACTAAACAATAGACGAAGAAAATGATTTATATTGGTATAAAAACTTAGCCGCCAGATAAAGCAAATCACGATATTGAAATGTAGATGTGTTAAAATTCTGTTTCCCTTGTCTTTTCGACAAAAATCCTAGAAAAAAAAACATTTATGCAGATGACAAACAGCTATTATATAATAATTTTTAATCGTAAACGGTTGTGATGTCTGTTTTTCGGAAATGAAATATACTTTATTTCCGACAATATTAACTTCATTTACGCAAGAATTCACCCAGTGAAATATACACGGAAACTTTATTTATATCACTTTGAGTGAAGAAAATCATACGCTGTTAACGTTGACGGAAATTCACATCAGTTTATTGCTTTAACAGCTTTTTAAGCGTATCTATTTCAGTGGTTATCATGCATGTATTTTAGCTCATTACGCGCCGCTATTATATGCTTATCCAAATTCTCCACTAAAATTATGATGTATATTTATGTAAATGATGATGTTGATCACAGACATTATTATAATTGCACTAATTAGTCAAGAACTACTGGTGCATTCAATTTTTTTACGCTTATATATGTACCTAGATGTATATACAGTTCAACTGTATTTAATTCAGCACACAGGTCTTAGGAAACACAAAACGCTTACAAAACGTATCATTAATTTGATATTTTTTTTTTTTATAGATAATTGTTGGAAAAAATATTTAAACATTTATATTGCAAGAGATACATGTATGACTGACATTTAGCAAACTGTTGACAAAATTTAAAAAAAAAAAAAAGAAGAAAAAAAAACCCATTTCTTATACAGAGAAATAGCACCCAGTTACTTCTGGTTTGTTTCAGACCAAGATAAGGGTTAGTTTTTCTCTAAATTTACAACATATTACTTTTCATAACAGCTTGGAATATTCACATACATAATTCTGATAAAACAAAATCTAGTTCAAGATTATCAATTTCAATTTCTATGAACTATGAAATATTTTAAGAAATTTCTAAACGACAGATAAAAAACAAAAACTAGACTTTCATCAACATAAAAATTCCCCCGTGCACCACTCGCTACTACTCTAACTAAAATTTCTTGCTAATACTTAGATCAGGACAACTTCTGATAATACAAGCCTTGTATGTTTTAACTACTGCACGAACTACGGTACATTCTAGTTACATGAATACCCTAGGAAAAAGGAAAACTTAAACGGACAGGAATATCAAAACAAAAAACACAGAAGTAAAAAAGATAAATATTGCATTATTAATAGCAGTAAAGGGATGACTAAAACTACATCAATGCATGCCCATTACTTGTACATGTATTTTACGAAGTCTTGCACAAACATTAAATGATTTGTACCTTCCATTTTACGTTTTTATTTATCCTTTAAAAAAACTCTCTCTCCCCACCCCTTTCAAAAAAAAAAACAAAAAATATTTTTAAAACAATGTACTCATTTATTTGTATGCATCAAAAAAAAAAAAAAAAAAAAAAAAAAAAAAAAAAAAATAGATGAATTCGGATGATAAACTAACATCTTTAAAGAGTTATACGACTTGCCTGTCTTCATAAAAATGTCACAGAGAAGCTACTGATGCTACAGGGGATGTGAATATTGGCTAGCTTACATGTAGCTTACTTTGTAATTTAATTATCTGTTCCCTAACAGTACAATGAAAAGAAAACACACACACACAAAAACATGTTTATCACAATGTAGAAAGGGCACATGGGTTTGTGTTTCAAAGTGACAAACATTATCTATTCCTAAAGAAATAAATCTATTTAGGTAAATCTAATTTAACAGAGCACCTTTCCTATCAGTAATCTTTATAAAAATATAAGAAATGACGTACAAAGTTTGATGCAATGCTTGAAACCCACACACAACTGAACCAGGCATTTTCTTAGTCTTTGTGAAAGAAGTTACACTGTTCAACAACCCTATTATTCAAATATTATATTATCTTTTATTGACAGTATTTTAT